ACATTAGGCACAGACTGCAGTCTCGAAAAAACCTATAGCATATACTTGTGTTAATTAAAAGCGTATAGCAATTATCAGGCTTGCCAACACAAAGAGTCCGCAGTTCGTCATCGGTGGAAGCAGCAGCTTCAACAAAGTTGCAGTTACATGTGCAGTTAGACACCATTTCGGTGGCTACAGCCCACTTGCCACTTTCTGAATGTTCACTTCACAACACAAACCACACTGGGCAGTCGAAAAGCATTCCAAGTGAAACCCGCAGTTCACAGTCCCGCACCACGCACTCAACTCGGTAGCTGGCCAGTGGAACGATTTACAATATGTGAAGTCTTAATATCAACACTTCACATTCCATCTGCAGTATTTGCCACGAAACCAACCTTAATTAAATAAAAGCAGCAATGCATGTAAATCACTGTACGGTTTGAAAGGTTTTACAGTTTGAACAGTTCAATTATCAAAACCATGGACTGTAACTGAAAACTTAACTTTGACCGAATCTTCCACAATGTTAGCACTTGAAAGTTTCAGTGTTCACATTCCTATATTCCACAATGTTAACAAGCTTAGCTTCTAGTTTTAACAGTTGCCTACTGCACACAAGTTTGCCTTGGGGTTCAAACAGTCAGCTGACAGTTCTTTTAAATTTGGTTGTTTATATTTTTTTTAGATATATATTAGCTTTCAATTCAAAAAATAAATACACGCGATCGGATTAGTTATGCGTTTTTTTACAGTATATTTAAGGCAATGGTAGCTACTGTCATATATATGACGACAATACATGTAAAAAAATTATCAGTGAATCAAGATAACATACTTCCACCTGTTCTATAGTGCTACTTTTATCAGTTATAGAGACTGTCTTACTAGATTCATTTTCCATAATAGTGTCGTCTTGCACAGTTTAAACAGTGTAACTTTCCCTGAGTGTCATCTTTCACCTATCCATAGTGTCATCTCTAGTACTGCTATGGAGTCTCACTTTCCAGTTTTAACAGCTTAAAAATACTCAAGTAAAATCTTGCACAATGTATACAGCATGACGTCCCTTAACAAAGTCGTCTTCTAAAATGCTAACATCCACGTCTTCCATCTGTGTAAAATGTGACTTTACAGTTATAGAGCCTTATTTTCAGTGTCATCTTCTTTAAGAGTGTCATCTTCGAAAATGTTAATATCCTAATCTATAGAGTTATCCTCACTGGGATACCCAGCACTTAACTTTTCAGTTTTAATAGCCTTGTCTTCCCTAGCACTGTCATCTTCCAGAGTGTTAAAATGAATGACTTCTAGATGTCCACCAATAATCCTTATCTTCATCTTCTACCTTCCCACCAATCAGCCTCCTCTATCCACCAATTATTCTTATCTTCCAAATATCCACCAATAAGCCGCGTATCCGCAAATCACGATAATCGTCCATGTACCCACCAATCATCATTATCTTCTACCTATCCACCAGTCAACCTCCTTTTAAAACCTATCTACAAATCATCCTTGTCTTTTACATATCCACCAATCAGCCTCAACTTCCACCTATCCACAAATCAGCCTAATCATCTACCTACCCACCAATCATCATTATCTTCTACCTATCCACCAATCAGCGTCATCTTCTAATTATCCACCAATCATCATTATCTTCTACCTACCCACCTATCCACCGACCAGCCTTCTCTTCCACTTATCCACAAATCATCTTCATCTTCTACCCTCCAGCAATCAGTCTCTTCGTCCACCTATTGCGTTGAAAATAAGGGGGGGGGGGGGGGGGGGGGAAACCTGGGACGGCTTCAACCTGCCTCTAGGGCTTGGTTTTAATTGCGTCCGTTGTTTATGTTTTCAGTTGAATTTCTTGTTGCGGCTTGTTGGTACACCCGACCATTCCTTGTTGGCGAATTTCTGCTGCACTTGCAGTTTGGGAGGGGAATTCTAAAATTCCTGAAAAGGACAATTAGGTGGTGCCTGGGACGGCCTGGATCGGGTGGGTGGGAGTAGATTTGGCGGTCGACATCATGCCTGGCTGGTCGCGAGCTGTGGGTTCTTCGTGCCGGTGAGCTGGATTGGTAGGCTGTCATGACAGCTTGGCTGGTTCTGATTGGTTGCTAGTTTCTGCTGGGTTTTGGGTCTGTTTGGGTAGCCTGTGGATTGCTAACGTTTCTTGTTTGCGAAAGCATAGCAAGGGTTGCGATGGTGCATCTGTTTGCTGTTGGACTGGCTCAATCTCTGTTTGGGTGCGACTCTCGTACTGATGACACCGTGGGCTCTTGACATTTCTTTGAGTAGGTTGCTTTCGTACTTCCTGTGTTTTACGAAAAGGTGTGGGTATAAAAGATCTGTGGCGTTGAAGTCATTCACCGGGTCGTTGTGAGTTAGGTCCCACCCGGCGGATCCGGTCCAATCTCTTCTGCTTGGTTTTATCAGATCGTTCATGCGTCTCACTAATTCGTCGATGTATTCTTGAGTCATTTTGTCGTCGGGTATAACGGCTGGCATTTCAAGAACTCTTTTTGTGAGATCGTCTTCTGCATCTGAATCCTGTTCAGAGTCTTCGCATTCTGCATCAGTTTCTTGTTCTTCCATTTCTGTCAGGCTATTCTGGGTTTCAATAAGTTTTTTGATGTCGCTTACTGCTTCTTTCAGGACCTCTTGCATGTTTGACTCTTGATCCGACTTTTCTTTCTGCCGGGTTCTCTCCAAATTGACTGCTAGCATTGCAGCGTCTGCTTCAGCTTTCGCCTCTTACAGCCGAACGATTTTTTGGTAGGTACTTTCGAGGGCTTCTTTGAGAGCGGCCATCTCTCTCTGGTGTTCCTCTCTTTCTGCTTGAACGAACGAACGAACTTTATTTTCAAAGGGTTACAAATTAGGCACGCAGGCCTGTCTTACATTCGGCCCTTCCAAACTTTCATCTTTCGCACAGCAGTTTTGACGGCGAGCTACATCCTGGTCTTCTGCCTTTTTAAGCTGCGATAGTAGGTCTTGCATTTTTTCAGTTGCTTCAGTTATTTCAGCTAGTAGCTTCGTATGCTGGGCAGCCTCTCCTTCTTTGTCTGCTCTCTGGGTTTTTAATTCATCCAGCGTTTGGGAGAGGAGGCCCAGCATGTCAAGGCCGTCAGTGGTAGCCTTCTCTCTGTCTGCTGTCAGCTTCTGGACTACGTTTTTGAGCTCTGCCACTTCCGGGGCTATTGCAGTGTCGTTTTGAACTGCGATAGCCTTCTCTGTTCTTCTCTCTCGTCTTGGTGTTGCAGCTCGCTGTTTGCATCTTTTAAGGTAGGGGCAGCCCAGGTACCTCGCGCTGTGGGCACCTGAGCAGTTTGAGCACTTCCTTCTTGAGTTCGGCCTCCTAAAGTCCTGGTCCATTTTTGCCAGGGCGCACTCCTTAAAGTCGTGCGTCTCTGAACAGCAACGACAAATGGGCCCGCTACGACAGGTCGCGGCGGTGTGCCACGCCCTATTGCAACGAGCGCACTGCATGATTTCTGATGGATAATTACCATGCTGTAGCGGTCTCCGTTGCATGTTTGACTGGGCTTCTGAGACGTCGGCGGCACTGGGTGCTGATTGTTGGTTTCAGATTTCAGAGAAACTGGATAGTGTTGCTGCGGCTGCGATTTCCGGAGTAGGGCTGATCGGTCTTTGGGTGATCGTGTCCTGGCGCTGGTCGTCTATAGCTGCGGCTTTTGTTACTGCAGGCTCCGGCTTCTTTAATGAGGCGGCTTTCGCTTGTTTCTTGGTTTTACCCATCTTGGCTGTTTGCGGTAATTGTGCGGTGCCTAGACAGTCTTTCTCGAAAACTAGATCCCTGAAGAGTCGACAAGACTTGTTAAGTGTCCTGAGAAGGACCCAAGTGTGCTTTCTCAACAGTTCACAAGACAATCGTTTGGCACTAATGCGTACAACAGGCTGCTAAAACCCCACTCGCAACGCCGATTGTATGATTGTCAAGACTGACTCAGCCGAATATCTAGCGAATCGGTGTCAAGTATCTAATTATCGAGAATCGGGCCACGAATGGAGAGTTAGCGATCAAGCGGGAGACGAGAGCTGCTCATGTTCGTGTCGTGTGTTCGTCTACCTATCCACCAATATTTCTTATCTTCTACATATCCACCAATCAGCGTCAAGTTCTACCTATCAGCAACTTTCACCAATCAACCTCATCTTCCACCTATCCACCAATCAACCTCATCTTCCACCTATCCACAAATCATCCTTATCTTCTACTTATCCAGCAATCAGCCTCTTCGTCCACCTATCCACTATTCATCCTTATCTTCTGTGTCTCCACCGGTCAGCCTCAGCTTCCACCTATCCACCAATCAGCGTCATCTTCCATCTATCCACAAATCAACCTAATCGTTCACCCACCCACCAATCATCATTATCTTCTACCTATCCACCAATCATCATTATCTTCTACCTATCCACCAATCATCATTATCTTCTACCTATCCACCAATAAACCCCAACTTCCACCTATCCACCAACCAGCCTTCTCTTCCACTTATCCACCAATCATCTTTATCTTCTATGTATCCACCGTCAGCCTCAGCGTCCACCTACCCACCAATCATCCTCATCTTCAACCTATCCACAAATCATCCTTATGTTCTACTTATCCAGGAATCAGCCTCTTCGTCCACATATCCAGCAGTCATCCTTATCTTCTATGTATCCAATAGTGAGCCTCAGCTTCTGCCTATCCACCAATCAGTGTCATGTTCCACCTATCCACAAATCATCATTATCTTTTACATACCCACCAATCAGCCCCAACTTCCACCTATCATCCAAGTTCCACCAATCAGCCCCAATTTCCACCTATCCACCAATCATTCTTATCTTCTAAATATTCACCATTCAGCCTTAAATTCCATCTATCCACCAATCAGCCTCAACTGCCACCTATCAGCCTCAACTTCCACCTATCAGCCTCATCTTCCACCAATCAGCCTCACCTTCCACCAATCAGCCTCACCTTCCACCTATCAGCCTCATCTTCCACCAGCTACCTGTTGCTGCTGCTGATGCTGATTATGCTGCAGAACCTGTTGGTGCTGAAGACTGGCTGAACTCAGGTCGTTGAGCTTCAAATCCAGCTTCTGTTTCTGTTGTGAAGACAAGGATGCCATACTATCTCTGTTGTTACTGTGAATGGAGGACTGCATACTGGAGTCACTATAGGTTCCTACAGTGGTGGTGCTGCTGCAGTTACTGCTGCTGCTATGGGACCTCATAATGATGCCCCCACTGCCGTTGCTGGAGCACATCGGGTGGTACTCATTACCTGAAGTAAAAGATTCAGACATACCCGGGCCGTACCAGCTACCACGCTCCCATCGTTCTATGGGTTTTGTGGTTCTTCTATACTTTGGAGGTGGGTCCAGTTTTGGGGTCACCCCACCAGCTGTTGAATTAAGAGATGGTGATGATGTCGTTGATAAAGAAGAGTGCGATGTTGAAATGAACGAATGTACATTATTCAATGACGGTGACTGCTTATGGCCTGATCTTTGATTGTTGGACGAAGCCGGGGAAGCTAGTGGCGAGATCAGCTTAACTTTATCACACACAGTTTTCTTGTTTGGTGAATTCTGCGGCGATGATTTGTAATAGACACTATGTCTGGGTAAGTATGCATCAGCAGGACTACTTGTGGCATAATAAGCTGAAGAGCTACCACCTTGGTGATTCATATTTTGGGGACTTCCAGTTTTCAGGGCACCCATTTTACTGGGAGAAGCAGATGAGGAGGCTAAAGAGCCACGTGTGGCAGGAGTCATCCAGCCTCTGATGTTTTCAGCAATATCTGAATCCTGGTGACACGAGAAAGAAGTCAAGCTGTACGGATTGAGCCAGGCATTGCCATCTGCACCAGTTAAGCAGAATGATAAACTGTCGGAGGACATTTCCTTGTGGCCACTGTCCGGAGAATCATTGTCGAGACCAGCTGCTTTCGTGTTGGTAAACATGCTAGCTCCACCCAGTATTATGCTTTCTGAGTAATCATTGGTTGACCTGGCATCTGTCAGATTAAGGGGAGCAGGGCAGGGCATTGCTGCACTAGGGTTCTGTAGAGAAAAAAATGAACATGTTATTTACTATCAAAAATAGTATTTTAATATTGAGTCTTACATGCACACAAATGACACACATACACACTCGCCCGCGCACAGAGGCATCCTGACCACCGGACAGATCATAAATATAATTGGCAGAACAGTGTGATGACTAGGCAGAGCAATAGTAAAACAGCAGAAAGAACATTGTCAGGATTGTTTGAAGAGGCGGAACACTGTGATGAGTGAACAAATTAGCCGTAGAATAGACAGAACACTGTGATGACATGACAGACAGACCAACGCTAGAAGAGGGAGAGCATTGTTATAGCTGGACAGATCAGGGGTAAAAGAATCAGAAAGAACATCGTGACTATTGGGCAGATCAATAGTAGAAGAATCATAAAGAATATTGCAACGATTGGGCAGATCAATAGTAGAAGAATCATAAAGAATATTGCAACGATTGGGCAGATCAATAGTAGAAGAATCATAAACAATATTGCAACGATTGGGCAGATCAATAGCAGAAGAATCATAAAGAATATTGCAACGATTGGGCAGATCAATAGTAGAAGAATCATAAAGAATATTGCAACGATTGGGCAGATCAATAGTAGAAGAATCATAAACAATATTGCAACGATTGGGCAGATCAATAGTAGAAGAATCATAAACAATATTGCAACGATTGGGCAGATCAATAGTAGAAGAATCATACAGAACATTGCAAAGATTGGGCAGATCAATAGTAGAAGAATCATAAAGAATATTGCAACGATTGGGCAGATCAATAGTAGAAGAATCATAAACAATATTGCAACGATTGGGCAGATCAATAGTAGAAGAATCATACAGAACATTGCAAAGATTGGGCAGATCAATAGTAGAAGAATCATAAAGAATATTGCAAAGATTGGGCAGATCAATAGCAGAAGAATCATAAAGAATATTGCAAAGATTGGGCAGATCAATAGCAGAAGAATCATAAAGAATATTGCAACGATTGGGCAGATCAATAGCAGAAGAATCAGAAAAAATTTGCAACGATTGGGCAGATAAATAATAGAAGAATCAGAAAGAACATTGTGACGATTGAGTAGATCAATAATAGAAGAATCAGAAAGAACATTGTGACGAATGTAAGGTGAGCAGTTGAAGAGGCAGGGCATCGAGACCAGTGGATAGATCAGCGGTAGAGGCAGAGGCAGACCGAGAGATTTAAAGTTGGATGTTCTAAGAAGGTAAAAGCAATATCATTAAAAAAAAAAAAAAAGATTAAGAACACCAGGCACCACAATCTGCAAAGATTCATGAAACGCCTACGTCATCTAACAAGGCACTTTATGATGATGATGCTATATAATTGTTATTGTAAATTGCACCATTCCTGTTTGAGGTAGATACAACCAGTGTTATATATCTTCGGGGCTGCGTGGTTTCGAAGTATGGTGTCCGCCTCGAGTGCTAGAGGTTCCGGGATCAGGCTGGGATTTTTTTTCGTGGACTTCTAGTAATTTCCCCTGGTCTCTGGGTAGTAAGATCTGACGCCCGTATATATTGTTTGCGCACGTAAACAAAAAAATCCCTTGGCAGTTGGAAATCAAAAAGATGTGCCTAACCATGGGCAAAATTTGGAGTTTAAAAATCTACCCAAAATATTCCAGGGTCCTCGCCGGTGCTACTGATTTCTTGCACTGCGTGAGTTTCTTCGGACTTAGGTTTGAGTTGGAAGTAGAACGGACCACTAATGGGTTACTACTCGTGTGCCATGATGTTGATCTGTTGTTCAAACTAATGTTCAAATCTATATATCGTAACAACCCCCCCCCCTACCCCCCTTTGCCGAGTAAGATTAAACTACAGTATCAGCTACAAATAATCAGCAACTATGCAGACTATAATGATCAGCATCATTACAGACATTAATTTATTACCCTTCGCAACTAGTGCAGACATAAATGCTCAACAATAGTACAAACAGCAACGATCAGCACAAAATAGACAGCAATGAAGCACACAGACACAAGCCACCTGAGCTGGCAGGTTGTACTGGTTTACGGCCTGAGCTCCAACACCTGTGACCTTGATCTCTAGTTGTTGAATGAGGGCCACCAACATGGACACATGGTCGAGCAAATCCTTGTTGTGCAGAAGCAGCTGGTGGGTTCGAGCCTGTGGTTACAAGGTAATCACACATTTTGTGAAGTGAAGGCTGGTTGCAATGAAAGTACATATATATATTCTTCTTCTTCTTCGCGTTCACCAGCTGTACACTCTGGCGGAAAGTTCTGGTTGATCGTCCACTACTGAACTGCAGTCCCGCTCCAGAACCTGAGTGTTGCGTGTGCATCAGTTTTACAGATCTCATTCTCTTGAATACAGACTGTTGGTTCCTTGCCTCTCCGGCAGATGCACTCCGACTTCAAAGGAAGCTCCCCAATTAGTCGACTCTTACGACATGCTTTTGGGGAGGCAGTGGGTCTATTCTTGTTTTCCCCACAATGGGGCCCCGGAACCCACACGGGGGATATATATATTTATATACGCGGGGCTGCGTTAGCGCAGTCGATAAGAGGCTCGCTTTCAAATCCAGCTGCGACTCGCTGCAGCCAAGGTCGGGGTTCAAAAATGGGCGGTTCCCGGGGTTCACCCAGCCTCTAGGAAATGGGTACCAGAGTTGATACTCTGGGGTAAATGGAGTAACGTCGCTGTAGCTACAGTGTTACGTGCGAACGGCGACACAGGCGGACAATTCTTATCAGCTGTCCGTAATGGTGGCACAGCACTTATGGTTTATAACCGTGTGCAATGACGCTGGTTCACATCTCCCGACTTTACCTTTTTATTCGTATGCGCTCTGGTGTGTGCAGAATTGTTAAACTGTTTCACTAATCTCATAGCACTTCAAAAGAATCATTAAATTACCCACTAACATCCAAGCTTTTGGCTGATCTGTAATTTTAATTTTCGAGTGATTATAGAACCATTGTGTGTTATCAGTGTCCAAGAGGACGGAAAATAATAGCAACAGATATCATGCATACCGTAAGAGGCGACTAAGAAACGCTAATCATTTTTGTTAGTCGCAAAGTCAAACGAATTATTTAAACAAATATAAGTGGCTTAGTGTGAGTTGGGTGGTCTTCTATACTCTGCAAGGAACACATAAAAGCATAGTATGTATTGATAGATACATCGATATACATATATATACACATATATACACACATATATGTAGATAGACAGTCAGACAAATGGACAGACAGGCGGGCGGGCTGACAAGTAGACAGACATTTAGACAGACAGACAGGCAGATACACAGCCATCCAGTAAGACAGACTGGCAGACATACAGGCAGTCAGATAAACAGACAGATAAACAGACAGACAGACATATAGATAGACAGACAAGCAGACAGACAAGCAGACAGACAGACAGACAGACAGACAGACAGACAGACAGGTATATATGTGAAGTTATCTCCCCAGTTTGATTCAGGCTATGTACTGGTTAACAAATGTGTGTCTGAAATACTGATATATTTTTTGTTCAGTTTTTATATCTTTCCTAGTTAACAAATCGACCCACCACGACGAACAACCAACACCCAAATATATCCTGACGGTGTCTCGTTGCTGAAGCTAAGGTGTGGATGATTTGCTGGGCGATCTTGTTGGGTTTTCCAGCCTAATGGGACACCGAGACGGATAGGAGATAACCTTTTGCAAGGAAGTCAATTATCTTAAACAGACTGATCGATATTTTTGACATAAAAATTTTTGCTGATACATTTGCATCTTTTCAGACAACGATGTCGTATTGTGCTGCAAGAAAGCGTGGGAAACACAGCCCATTGCGTGGAGACTGTGACTTGCTGCACACACACACACACACACACACACACACACACACACACACACACACACACACACACACACACACACACACACACACATAAAGCCAGGAATGAAGTTCCTCTTCTCCAAAGCATAAAAGTATAAGTCCTATTGCAGAGGCCGCGTGTTGCCCATGTAGCATGATTCTGCTCGCTGCCTAGCTTCTTTACTCTAAGTGAAAGGTAACACCAACACATTTGGTTCAAAGAAAATGCATCTGCGAACTGAAACATTCACACCTCTGTGAGCATTGTCAAAATCATTTGTTTCACTTTTATGCCATTACCGGTAAAGTAGTTAAGTGTGTACATTGTTAAACTAGATTGCAATACCCACCTGTGCTTCGATCCTTGCAGCGGTTTCTGCGGACAACTGTTCCTTCAGGAGCTGGACTTGAGCAACCGCTACCTGTGATTCGGAGAAAAGTAGATCCATAGATGAGTAGTTTAGTCTTCCTAATCTATACAGTTCTTTAATCTGCTGTGTAGTAATATAATAATGGTGGGAGGATGCAATAGGAGTTCTGTCATCATAGATGGATAAAATACTGAATGCAACTATGCAGTCATGGTGGATGGATACATGTATAACTTTAAAAAACATATCATTGTCAGTCACGATTCCAATTTCATGGCCTTCATAATTGCGCTTCCTGTGCTCACAGAAGCTCGCACACGAATAAATGCATTGGGCACACAGGCAAGCCAGCCACCATCAATTTTCATAGTAGATATATTAAATACTGACGGGTAATTTATTGGTGATTTATGGGCAAAATACTGAGTGTAACCTAATAGCAATAATGGATGTATAAATACTGACTGGAGCAGTATTATCATGATATGGCTGGTATTAATTGTTTTTTAGCCTGTTAATAGTTTTAGTTTGGCTACACTTGCGAACTAAACTGGCAGGTTTGCAGATCGGGACTCTCCGATAGTGGATAGTGAGTCTAAAAGTTGAAAATGTTCTTTTTGGCTCCTAGGTCTGCAGCGGTGAGACAAGAAACTTGTCGTCTGACTTTTCGTTGCGGATCCATACAGGCTTCTTAGTGCAATATAGGTTCAGGGTACTCAGTCGAAAAATGAACTGGCTCACTGGTTTCGTCTTGAAGGGGTACTTGCAGTAGATATATTGTGTTAGATCTGGATTTTTATTGTGCATCCTCGCTCGGAGATTCTGACAGTAGGTAGAGAAGGCGAGCTCTGATCTTTGTTAGCTGGAGTGATGGTCTGTAACATATTGTTGGTTGTTAACTCTTTGAGACCGAGCAACGCTTTTAGTGTTGATTTAGAAGTTAAGATTTACCTAAACAACCCTGTCAGCGTCCATCCTGTGTCTTATCAATATTGATTCGCATACAGCTCCGTGTTTGTATCTAATGTTCTGAACTACCGTTAAAGTATTCAGGGAAGATTACTCTAAAATATTTCTTTGTAGACAAATCCTTTTTCACATACATGTGGGCATAAATCAATATAATTCACCGAGGCGTCGTTTTCAGACAGCGCATTTTCTGATTTGGTATAGAACTGGCCATTGATACACAAGCACATGTCCAAAAATGTGCTTTTCTGTGGCTGAAGTTTAAAAATGGTTTCAGTCAGATGTTTTCAAATTCTGATAATAATAATGAAAACATTAATTTCTTCGGAAAATGATCCGGACGGTGAAATTACACCAGCGGCAGATGAGTGGTCAGCTATTCGTTCTGAAGAGGTACATTCAAGAGGACCCATTAAATTTGCGAAAGATGTGATAGTCATCCACATTTGCTTTTAAAGAACTGTTTCAGACAGTACCATATTCATACTATGGCTAAGCTGCATTGAAATCATTGCATCTACAGTCTGTATATAACTAGAAAGTTAATATTTCGGGTGTATAGGTCAAATTATCTGCCTATTACTTTCTTTAAAATTTTGATCAGCACTCTAAGAGAACATAGAGCCTCTGAGAAATGAGTTAACACAGAAACGTCTCATAAGTTTTCAATTTGTTAGGAAGCTGACAAACGTTTAAAAATGATATTTTCAAATTTGAATATTCTTTGCTCCTGTGGCTGCAAAACCATGCTAGTGAAAGATTGTTTAGGTTAACATTTTGTCTTTATAAATTTAACACCTGCTGAATTCTTTTTTCCTACTAAAGATAACAGCATTAAATAAAAACATATCATCAGATTCAAAATGTACATTAATTCCTCTTCAAAAGATATATACTTTTGTAGGGATTAGAAATGTATTACATTCTCAGTTGACATTTTTCTTATTTACACAACTCCGTCTTCCAATTTTGTAAAGGAAAATTATTGTGAGCCAAGTCTGTCAAAACACATGGGCCTGAAGGAGTTAATATATTGTTTTCTGCAAAAGCAAGCCAGTTTTATATCCAGGAAGATGTTGAATGTGATGATTACATTCCATTTGCTTGAATGAGATAGAGGACTTGTAGTTCGTGCATGAGGTCTGTGTATGCGCTGCACCTGTAGCTATATTTGTTAGCTGTTGTTGTCTAATTCACTATTAACATATTCATCGCCTGAGCCATGAGTAAATATTACAGGGTTCCTGTACAAGGAGAACAGATGTCTTTTCTTTACGTTTCCTGTTTTTGGAGTCCAAAACAACGTATTGTCAGAATCACATTTCTTTTCATGTCTCTTTTATTTTTGTTTTAAATATTTTTTTCCGCCTTCCGCTACATCAAATGGTTAAACTATTTATAAATTATTTTTTTTAGCAATAGAAAAACTGTGGATTAATGAAATAGTGACCCTATAAGTATTAACGCATAGGTAAAAAGGAAGGTGGAAAGAAAAAACTAAAGTAAACACTTCAGTGAGTCTACTTTGCCAAAAGCTGTCCAAAAAGATATTGAAAACTGAGAGAGATGAAGAATTCAATTCTAGCAATTGACGCAGACATTTAACACACACACAAATTTATTTAGAGAATTAAATGTGTATGTGGCTTTGATTTTCGCAGCTAAGCTTAACGAATATCAATTCCAAATCCAGCAGAAGAGAAACTAGCAGAATGAAGGTATAAACATACATACCTGGGTCTGATATTGTTGCTGTTCTAGCTGTTGCCGAGCCAACAATAAATGATGATGCTGACTCAGTGGTAGTAGCGTGTTGTCCCCGTTGTTGACACTGTTGTCCGTTACATCGCTTAAACCTCCCAGTGCACGATGACGTGGGAAGAGTCCGTCTGAAGTCTTTAAAGAAAAAAACATTCGTATACTTCTCAAATGAGTTTATATATATATATATATATATATATATATATATATATATATATATATATATATATATATATATATATATATATATATATATATAAACAAACAGACCATTTATTAATCGGCTGACATAGAAAGAAGAAGAAAGATAGATGGACACACCAGACTATATAAAAAGCGAAAGCTATAGTTACCGTGCCAGGAATTGAACCTTTTACCTCCAAATGGCGTGTTTGCCTTGTTATGGAAACAAGAATACTGAGCTCAAACGAGCGAGTGACGTTCGACCCCACCAGAGCTGCACAACCAGGGATAAACACCCGGTGACACAAGGTGCCACCATTTGGATGAGAATCCCCTATGGTACAAATCCTGACTTTTAAAAATCTTTATAATTTAATCAGTGAAATTCTTCACACAAGAAAACTTTATGGTTAAACCATTCAATTGTCAGTCCTTTTGCATTTGGGCCATCGATAGTTTTTAGGTGTACTGTGTTTCCATTCAACAAATAAAAGCGCGCCATCGGAAAACAATGCGTTTATATGTTATTATTTTGTTTCTCCCAAAGGAAATATAACAAGAGAAGATAATTCAGTGTATTCTAGCTCAATGTATTTTCCAAAGTTGTGTCCCATTGCGGAATTTCGGGTCCCTGTAATAAGTGCTTCCTTTATAATTTCTTTGGAGATTGAACGGGTTAAAAAGGATTTGCCTGGTTGGTCAGCAGTCCTAGTTGAGATTTTGTTATATCAGGGTGTACAATCTTCAGGTACCAGCCCGGAGGGTAAATTGAAGAACGAAAGTACAGGTTTTGCTTCATGACATATTTTTCTAATTGAGCGCATCCAGAGTCAAATAATTTGGAAAAATTCTAAATTATTACGTTAAACTTTTCTACATTTTATCGATTTCTATACGATAAGATAACTTCCCCCCAATATTAGATCTTATTATAAAGCCACATCCTGATTGTAATCGGGGACAATAATATAACCTGACGATTAAACGGGTTTCTGGGAGGTGTGTCATGGTGATTATAACCCGAATCGTTGCACTTTGTGTCACCGAGTGTTTTATGGCTCGTCGTGCGATCCTGGAAGGGTGAAAGTCAGTCATTTAGTCTGTCGGAGTGTCCCACCCCCCCCCCTCATTTTACTTGAAGTGTAGTCTTTTATCAATCGAATCATGTCTCCTTACCAAGTACTCGATGCGATGTTTCAGCATTGCAGGAAAAAAAAAATAATCAGTTTTCTTATTTACAGTCACGACGTTTTTTTTCCTGTTCTGCTTACCGGTTTACTTAACTTATCTTGTGTTGTATCCTAACGTATCATCTGAGTAAACACAACATATATGCAGACGTTCATACAGATAGATGAACAGAATGACAATAGGTAGGAAACTTACAACAGACGCTCTGTTCTGTGTATGCTTCAAATTGAGCTCGTTTGGTGGTGTAGGTTTCTGGACACTCTTAGTCAGCTCGCTGGTCTTTAGGGATGTGTTCAATTCTTTCTTGTCTTGAGAGCCTGGGTCGTTATCTGAGCCAAAGAAATTGGTTAAGCGTTAAAGATATATAAATGTAATGAATATACAGGGTGAACATACTACAGTGAGCCGAAAACGGGACACTACAGTAATATTCTTCTTTCTTTTGTCAAAATCTGCTTGTGCCGCTAGGCGTCGCAGTCTATCAGATGATCGGCAACCGAGCCAGGACGCGCTCAGTCGCTTCATATGATGTGATGTTATGAAGTCTCAAGTTGTCCGTGACTCCTTCAATCCATCTTCTTCTTGGTCTTCCCCTGCCTCTTGGTGTTTCGATTTTCATGTTGTATGCTCTTGATGCTGGCATCGTTGGTTCCATTCTCATTAGGTGACCAAACCATTTCTTTCTTTGCTTCTCAATAAATTTAACAATGGGTATGGTTCCA